GGCCGACACAGGGGGTGCAGGGAATGGTGTGAAGAACGGTCACTGGGCACTGAGGAAGGAAAATGCCCAGAAGGAAAACCATCCAGAAGAATCACAGTGTTGCACGAACACCGTGCATCTCGAGAAGGGAATGCGGACTCCTCAGCTGGAAACACCCGTAGAAGCAACTGTGGGTGTTGACGGCGGAAGGACATAAAATCTGCAGACTACAGGGGACCCTGGGTGGCTCAGTGGGTTGAGCGTCCAACTTCGGCTCAGGTCATGATCTCACGGTGTGTGAGTTCAAGTCCTGCCTCGGGCTCTGTGCTGATGGCTCGGAGCCTGGAGCCTGCTTCGGATTTTGTGTCTCCCTCTCTCTCTGCCCCTCCCCTGCTCATGCTCTGTCTCTCTCTCAAAAATAAATACATATTTAAAAAATTTTTTTAAAAATCTATAGACTACAACGTCGTGTTTCTGAAGCAGGGAACCATGGGTGGGAGCAGCTCAGTGCCACCAGGGCTGCTGCCCCCCCAGGACCCCCCGCCCTGCCCCGCATGGCTGGGCTCCATCAAGCAGTGGGTCCTACGTGAGTCTCCAGCCAGGAGCTCACCAACAGCGTCCCCCCAGCGGCTCCCACCTCTGACGCTTTTAATAACACTACTGTTTTTTTGTTTTTTAAGTTTATTTATTTATTTTTGAGAGAGAGACAGAGTATGAGCAGAGGAGGGGCAGAGAGAGAGAAGGAGACACAGAATCCGAAGCAGGCTCCAGGCTCTGAGCTGTCAGCCCAGAGCCCGACACGGGGCTCGAACTCACATGCTGTGAGATCATGACCTGAGTGGAAATCAAGAGTCAGATGCACTACGGAGGGAGCCCAGGTGCCCCAACACCCCTAATGTTGCTACAGCGGGGTTCCAGGGCGCATCTACAGCTCCTGGGCAGGCACGGTGCACATCAGCGGGTAGTCCTAAATAAGCTGCCCCCTAATAAAACATGAGAGCCTCATTTAACCTCCAGTGAATCATAAAAGACAGTCATAACTGCCTATAGCGCTTTATCTTTCTCCCCCAAGACCACAATTTAGAGAAGACTGGCCTACACTGGAGCAGAGGGGGTGAGGTGTCGAGCTGGCGTGTAGAAAAGGACATAAAGAGCATCCGCTTGTCTGAAAGGCCGAGCCGCACCCTGTAGCTGGAGGACTGAGCAAATCGCGTCATTTCTGGCTTCCTTTCCCCGTCTGTGAAGTGCGCTATCGGTGAAGGAACAGTCGCCTCGGGAAGGTGGCCAGGACGATGGCAGGTTGTCGGTGATGACCCGTAAGTGAGGAGCTCGTGTTGGGTGTGCCTGGCTTGGCCGTGACATTGCTCTCAGCACCTGCTGCCACAGAGGGCCTCCTACCTCTCTGGGTTCACGAAGGTCAGTGTCTTTTTTCTAATATGCTTAATGTTTATTTTTGTGAGAGAGAGAGAGAGGGAGAGAGAGAGAGAGAGAGAGAGAGTGAGCAGGGGAGGGGCGGGGGGGGGAACACAAAATCTGAAGCCCGACGCAGGGCTCGAACCCATAGACCACGAGATCATGACCTGAGCCAAAGTTGGACGCTCAACCAACTGAGCCACCCAGGCACCCCTACATTTATTTATTTTTGATAGACAGAGCCAGAGGAGGAGCGCGGCAGGGTCAGACAAAGGGAGACACAGAATCCGAAGCAGGCTCCCAGCTGTCAGCACAGAGCCTGACGCGGGGCTCGAACTCACAAACTGTGAGATCATGACCTGAGCCAAAGTCAGACGCCTAACCGACTGAGCCACCCAGGCGCCCCAACAGAGGTCAGTGTACAGGAGGAAGCCACAAGCCAAGTTACAAATTCAAACAGAAAGATCCTTTCGAGTTGCTTGGATATATAGTTACGTCCACATCTCTTACGCTGCATTAGTAAACTGCAATCACTTGTCAGCTGCCCGAGCCACGCAGGCGCCCCTCCCCTTGTTATAAAATCAAACAAACAAAGAGGGAGAAGAAATTCACTTAGCTGCTGAACCGACGGCCCCTGCAGGTTTAGCGGGAACACGCGCTGCCGTATCTGCAGCTTCTACGACGCACCTCGTAAAATAATCCCATTTCTCATCAGGGCGCTGCGAGCACCTGCTTACGCCCCAGCAGCCAAAACGTACCAGGATTTCAGACAGGAGACCCTGCAATCCCCTCTCGTGGTGAACAGTCTGCTGAACACAGACCTGCAGAGAAGCGGGAAGAAGGGGGGAAAGACACGAAGGGAAACGCTTCGCGCGCCGCTCTCACCACCTTTTCCAGATCCAGAATGCTCCCAGGTGACGCTGCATGAGGTTGGATTCGTGTGCGTTCATTCTGAACGTAAGAGGGGCCTCCTACCGGGGCGCCCAGGAGGCTCAGTCGGCTGGGCGTCTGACTCTTGATGTCGGCTCAGGTCGTCACCTCACGGTTTGTGGCATCGAGCCCCGCGCGTGGCTGCTTGCTAAGCACGGAGCCTGCTTGAGATTCTCTCTCTCCCTCCGCCCCTCTCCCCTGCTTACTCTAAAATAATAAAACAAATACAAATTTTAAAAAAAGAAAGAAGGGACCCCTGCCCATCAACCCAAGGCGACTCTGAAAACATGGCCAAGTGCTAGAGGGGTCAGGGTCAGGCTGGCCACCGGCTTCTGCAACTGCTTCCGGGGCCCTCCCAGAGCCTCGACCCAAATACGGTCAGAAAACAAGGTCCCCACAGAGATGGTTCTTCTTGGAAATCCTTCTACCTCTGACCATGGCTCTTACCATAACAGGCGTGTGGGACTGGTCACTGGGGATGATTCACGAGTGACACCCACGCCCACCAGACACAGTCTTGTCCACTTGCCTACGTCCATCTCTGTGGCCAAGAGACGAGGACCACAGGCAGCGTGGAAACTCCTCGCTCCTGCTGCCCAGGGCCAGTCTGAGGGCGGAGAGGACAGGCAGAACGACGAAACTTTATCTTCCCAGGAGACACGGTTCCTCACTGACCATAGAAAGCCGAGTAGAGCTCTGACAACCACCACCGGTTGGAGCTGAACCATTTTTTTCTTGATCAGATCATAAGCAAGACTGAAAAATCGTTATGAGGAAAGCGGAGCAGGGCCGCCCCTCCCACTACAACACGCTCGTCCCCGAGCTTACTCACATTAGGAGGCAACGTGAAATAGTATTCAGGCACCTGTCTAGCCCCTTAACTAAAATAACCAGAACACCTTGAGATGTTACAGGACCCTAAATCAGTTACCACCAACCTTCAATGCTACGGACACCATTTTTGTGTCTGATAAGGAAGATCTAATTCACACAAGAAAATGGTAGAGAGAAACTTTTCTTCAACCAAGTTCTTAGTGTTGAGCTATTTATAAAACATTAGAGGGACACGGGAGTACCACGAGTATGTAAAAGGTACAACGTGGGGTTCAGTGGAAAGCTTTGTTCACATGGATGTCAGCCATCAAATGCAAGACTGACCGTTCACACAAGTGGCTTCTTTGCATCCAGGAATACAGGCTCCTGGGATCGGCCGGGACTCCGTATTGCCCCACGGGACTTGCAGACCCACGGAGGAGATGCTGAGACGCCCATCGCTTCTCTGTGCTGCTCCTGAGATGCACAGCAAGCAGGACAGCCCCTACCCCAACAAGGCTGGTGACGTAGGGCCCCCAGAAAGCTGCCAGATGCTTAGGAGGGTTTTTAAGTGTGTATTTTGTGTTTTTCCATTTTTTTTTTTAATGTTTATTTTTGAGAGAGAGTGAGCGAGCATGAGCAGGGGAGGGACAGAGAGAGAAAGAGACAGAAGATCTGAAGCAGGCTCTGTACTAACAGCAGAGCCTGATATGGGGCTCGAACTCACAAACCGCGAGATCATGACCTGAGCCGAAGTCGGACGCTCCAACAACTGAGTCACTGAGGTGCCCCCATGTGTATTTTGTTTAGCATGAACCAGATATAGCCTGAAGTAATCACGTACATTAACTAAACCTGAGCAAAACCCAGGGTTTTGGGGTTTTTTTAATGTTTATTTACCTTTGAGAGAGAGAGAGAGAGAGACAGAGAATCCCAAGCAAGCTCCATGCCGACAGCACAGAGTCCAACGTGGGGCTCGAACCCACGAACGGAGAGCTCATGACCTGAGCCGAGATCAAGAGTTGGACACTTAACCGACGGAGCCATCCAGGCGCCCCAAAACCCAGGTCTCAAATGACCCGTCTGACACCTGTGGGGACAGGCCCACCGTACCTGCCATGCCTGCCGTGAATACTTAGCCCGACAAACAGAGACACCATCACGTCACCTGAACGGGTGGCCATTCCTACTTGGTGGCATCGTGGGAGTCAGGAGAAGAAAACACCCATCAGCCCACCTCATAAAACTTCTTAATTATAACGTTACCGTTCAACCCACACCGCTGCTTGAAATATTGAGGGAAATCTACCTTCACCCAAAGGGGCCCGTTTTAGGCCTAATCCCTCGAAAAGCTCCGGGGTGAGAGCCCGAGCCCCACACGCGGCCCGTAGGCTCCTGGAGCTGGCTGGCCACCGACCCCGCAGGCAGACGGCACGGGGCCAGCTCCCCACCCCAACTTGACCCGCCTCGAGGTCCCTTCGCCGTCGTGACTCTCGCTTATTTTGAAGGCACGCAGTAGAGTTTTCAAAGGTACAACGCATGGTGTCCCCGAAGACCCCCAAGTTCAGAACAACACGCGCCGGCTTCGCAGACAACAGAACGCTCCCAGCTGAGTGCACGAGGCAGACCCCGGCTGCAAGGACGCATTACTGAGCAGCGCAGGGCGCACCTGCCCCTCACCCACGACGGCAGGTGACGGCGGCTTCAGGGTGCGGGGTCCCCGCTTCCCAAGGCACGCGGCCGGCCCTCCCCCACTCCGGGGGGCTCACCAGCAGCCACGAAGCCGAAAGGGAGCCTCCCACCCCGCCCTCTTCTAAGAACGAGCCTTGCATCCTGGAGGAAGAAAACAAACCAGCATTTCTTACCTCTAGTGACGCGGCCGACTTGGTCCCAGGCAAGGCGGAGTCACATTTGCCCTGTGGAGGCAGAAAGTGGAGAAAAGAGTCCTTTAAGTCACAGGATGTCACTCACAGGAGCAGGGCTGCCGCTGAGCACGGTTAACGCGGACACTCACCGCGCCCGGGAGCTTTTTGCTTCGAAACATTAATCTCCACATGACTTTAAATAATGTGAGGACGCTCTCGAGCCCTCAGGAAGCCTTGCAGTCCACACCGAAAGAGGGGAACTTACACACTTTTGTGCAACTTTTACCCTTCAGCCAGAGGAAGTGATGATGCTTCTATTACCAACCTCAAAACTCAACCAAAAGAACCAAAGAAACAAAACCAGTTACTTGTTTCGTCTCCAGATGCATCGTATTTAATTAGCCGCAGTTGCCCCTAACGGAACTGGACAAACGTTTGGTTTTGTTTGAAATGATTATTTATTTTTGAGAGAGAGAGAGAGAGAGAGAGGCAGGGAGGCGCCTGTGTGGCTCAGTGAAAGTGTCGACGTTGGCTCAGGTCATGATCTCACGGTTCATGAGTTCGAGCCCCGCATCGGGTTCTGTGCCGACAGCTCAGAGCCTGGAGCCTGCTTGGGATTCTGTGTGTGTGTGTGTGTGTGTGTGTGTGTGTGTGTGTGTGTGTGTCCCCCTTCCCTGCTGAGCTCTGTCTCTCTGTCTCAAAAACAAATAAAATAAAATTTAAAAAAGAGAGAGAGAGAAAAGCAGGGGAGGGGCAGAGAGAGAGAGGGAGAGACAGAATCCAAAGCAGAATTCACTGTCAGCACAGAGCCTGATGCAGGGCTCAAACTCACGAGTGTGCGATCATGACCTGAGCCAAATCAAGAGTCAGAGGCTTAGCTGACTGAGCCTGCCAGGTGCCCCTGGACAAACGTTTTGAGGTGACCTGTCCGCTCTCCATTCTATGAAGACAGTCATTCCGGGCTCGGGGGCAGGAAGGCCCTTCGTCTGTGAACACACTCCGAAAGAACCACTGAAAACCCAGACTTGCTCAGTCGTGGCGTTCAAGCCCAGGAACACACACATCCGGGCCTCCCCTCCACTTCCCAAGCCTCTCTTTGGCTAGAGTAAAACCCCGAAATTGCCTGAAGAGTTTACCTAGCGACACGTTTTAGGGTCTTGAGACCAGAAACCAAGGCTGGTCTCTTCTCCGTCCGCCCCATGCCGCAGGGGCTCAGTTTCCCTTCTGTTCTCTGCTCCTTGGCTCCTACCCGCTGAAAAGTAAGACACGAAGAAGGAAACCAAACTTCAAATTAGTCTCTTGTGCCCCTCGCTAGTAATTGGGGGTCAAGGGTCAGAAGAGCGAGCTGGGAGAAGGCTCCCACGGCGCCGAACGCAGAAAGGCCTCGGATTCCGCCACCAGAGAGGTCTGCACTCCTGGGTAGCGCACCCCAACCCCAACCTGCACCGCCCCGTCTCCCGACACAACCTGCAAACAGCAGTGTTAACCGTGACACCTTTCATTTCTGGCTCTCGACATTCAGTGCCTGTTAGAAACATCCGGAGCTTTACAAACTCCCAGACCCAAGCAATCGGAAGGGCAGGGACCGTCCGGGCATTTCAGTATTTACAGTGCTTCCCAGGCGACACTCGTGTGCCGTCCAGGTTGAGAATGCTCGCTGTCCTCCTTGTCCCTGTTCCGTGTCCCCTGGCTGGACGGTCAGTATTTTTTTTTCTTTTTTTATTTATTTATTTATTTTTGGGACAGAGAGAGACAGAGCATGAACGGGGGAGGGGCAGAGAGAGAGGGAGACACAGAATCGGAAACAGGCTCCAGGCTCTGAGCCATCAGCCCAGAGCCCGACGCGGGGCTCGAACTCACGGACCGCGAGATCGTGACCTGGCTGAAGTCGGACGCTTAACCGACTGCGCCACCCAGGCGCCCCTGGACGGTCAGTATTAAACAGCACGAACACGGGCTCTGCTCCCTGCACACCGGCTGGCACTGCACAGGGCGCGTAGAGCAAACACCTGCGGGTCTTGTCCCCAGCAGCCCGCCTCGGTCTTTCTACGGGGAACGAATTCCGAGAAGCCCAGGAGACAGCGTCCCTGCCGTGATCAGCCATCACCGTGCGCAGGGACGTGACCCGGGTCTGGTCACTCTCCGGGCACAGTGCCCTCTCAGAGGTGGGCGTGTGAGGCCTGCCCAGGGCTCCGGCCCTCTCTGTCCTGGGAGATGCTCTGAGTCTGGGGTTGCTGTTTGTTTTACCCAGGAAAGGCGCCTGCCTGGGGATGGAGAGAAAGTCGGCGACGTACCCGCAGCTTTAGAACCTTTGCGTCAAACCCGCCGGAAGCCATGCCTTTTTCCAAGGACAGAGGCCCACAGTTGCCCACCTGGTTTGTGCCACTTTGATTTGGCGCCTGTAACCCGAGAAAGGGTGTGAGGCCTGACGCAACATAAATGGTGCGTTTACAAATAAACGCCCGAAAGCAAGAAATGAAAATCCCCAAAGTCCCACAGGACCACACATTCATCCGTGGTCTTATTCAACACCGTGACCAGCCCACCAGCTGGTCGCCTTCCACAGGGGCTGGCAGGGGACACCCCACGCGTGACGCCCCTAACCCCGGCTGCCTTGAAGCCCCCAGGACCGTGCATACAGGGTATTCGGTATTTGAGGGGCTCTCCCTGAAAACGCGAGATGAATTTGCAGAGTCTCTCGTTTACAGTCACAAATCCTCTCTGCCCTTCCTTTTCCAGACCCCGCCCCCTTTGCAAGTAAGAGTCAGTGAATTAAACAGGGGCATCGGGTGACTTGGTGACGAGGGGCATCAGGTGACAGGGCTCAGTCTACTTGGTAGTCAGCCGCCGCCGGGCTCAGCTCCTGAGCCAAACATGGGGGGGGTGGGGGCCTTTCAACTCCACCAGTGCTGATCCCCGTCCTTACTACTCCTTTCCAATCCAAGATGAGTAGACAGGACGTCCCCCCAGGTCCCACCCTCCTCCCTCGGAGCCCATGTGATTATGGCAGGTGGGGAAGGACACGGAGAAGGCGGAGGTGAGGAAAGGGAAGGCAGGAGGGATGCTAAGCCAGGTTTCCATCACGAGAGGAGTCGGGCCGGTCCTTCCTCTTCCCGTCAGTCTTGTGACTGTATTCGAGTTCAAATGCACCCGGCATGATTCCAGGAGCATCACGGCCAGATCCCCAGGGAAAAACCAAAGAGGCCACAGCATAAAACCCTCCACAGAAACGTTGTACTCCAGGCGTATTCCACAAAGAGGAAACTTGTCAAACTTGTGTGTGGACAATAAATGAACGGGGGCAAATGTGTTTTCCGAACTTGACAAGTATCAGAAATACCTAGACAAGGTATCAATCACCATTCTGGAAAAAAATACGGCTTGAAGATTTTTGCAAAGCTCTCGAAAGCAATCATGTGCCACGGACGAGCGAAGGGCCCCCGACTGTAGTGCCTACAGCGTTTGGAATTTCTAGTCTGGATGACCAAGCTTCACTTGATTCTGTGGGTCCTTTGAGATTGGCCTTTCAGTATATAAAGCTGACAAGCCAACTTTGTAATAACCAAAGGGTCTGGCTCGCTTCCAGAGTCCCTGTTTACTAGATGGTGGAGGACCTCGCAGACTCTGTGCACCGTCCTCAAAAGCACACTTGGCCATGTGAGCAGTTGATAGAATGAATATACACTATTATCTCCTCGGTGGAACTAGAACGTGGGATTCGGAAAAGGCTCGGCACTTTAAGCCCTGATTTGCCTGGAGTATTGCTGTTGCTTTAAATTAACGCAGGTGCAGGGGCGCCTGGGTGGCTCAGTCAGTTAAGCGTCCGACTTCAGCCAGGTCACGATCTCGCGGTCCGGGAGTTCGAGCCCCGCGTCGGGCTCTGGGCTGATGGCTCGGAGCCTGGAGCCTGTTTCCGATTCTGTTGTCTCCCTCTCTCTCTGCCCCTCCCCCGTTCATGCTCTGTCTCTCTCTGTCCCAAAAATAAATAAACGTTGAAAAAAAAATTTAAATTAACGCAGGTGCACAGGACTGACCACCGAGCTCCCAGGCTGCTTCAGCAGGTGCGGTGGCTGCAAGGGTGGAGCTCAGGCGCCCGACCTGCTGGCAGGCTGTTTCCAGCCACCAGACACTGGGCAAGTTACTTACCCACTTGGCCTCAGTTTCCCCATTTGTACAGTTGGGGCAGTACCTGCCTTACAGGGGGGGTGGGGTGGGGGGGGGGGGGACGTGGGGTGACACATTTTAGGCACCTGGCAGGCAGATGATCAGTGTTGGTGACACTGATGCTGCTGATGCAGGAAAAGGAAGGTGTGCCCCAGCCGACCCCAGATCAGAGATGTCATCGAGAACACTGGCGTCGTGTTTCTGGTCTGTGATCCTTTAGGAGTTGACCCTGGAGGCCTCGGACTAGATCTCAGAGTGACGGCGGTCACTCTGCCTGGCGGGGAGGCGTGGCCACGGACGAACAGCAGGTGGCGCCAGAGACTCGGTCTGCGGCCACGCACCAGCTGACTGGGGAGGCCGCGCGGGGCCCCATCTGAATTCTATTTCTTCTAAACAATTAGGCCCTAAATCAATGTCGATCCTGTCATTCTGGAGCCGTTTAGAAATTCCCCAAACAGTTCATGTACGACGCAAGGTTATCCACCCCTTCCTCTGCAGTGCCGATGCTTAAGCGTCTTTGGACGGTGGGTGACCTGGGCACGCACACATCCACCCCCCCCACCCCCACACACACGCGCTGTGTTGAGTCTGCGTGTCCATGTGTCCTGCAGTCCTGGCTTCTCCCTCCCCACCGACATCGCGTCTGCCGCGGGGACTCCAGCCTGGCCGCCTGCTGCAGGACAGGACCGGCCTTTGTTCTGTGGAGGCTCACAGATGTCTGTGCTCCCCCAGGAATGAAATGCTCAGCTCATCATCAGGAAGGCAGGGCTGTTCTCCAGAGGCAGCCTGCCCTTAGCAGGCCCTCCTCTCCCTCCCCCGGGGGCCCACAGCTTCACAGAACCCTCTTTCTTCACCCTGAAGGGTGACACAGGTGATGTGACGGCATC